GGTTAACCACACACAGTAAGATTTAAGAAATCAAGACAGTAACCTGTTTCCCTAAACAAACTGATGATCTGAATCTGAGTTTGAGTTTGAGATACCTCCTCCTTTACTGATCGACTGTCTGCCTCTTTCAGTGGAACACTTCTACGAAGAAAACGCGATTGCTGCAAAATAAACATTTAATATTGTACTCTTTTTGTTTAACTGTACCAAAAACGTCCTTCTACGCGTTGTTGCCATTTTTCATAACTTGCTGCTCTATGTAACGACTACTTTCTCCTTCAAATAAATATTAGACCCTGGATTTATTTCTATAATTTATGACGGGTTAATTATGAATATTTAGTGGTGATCATAGTCAGTCTCGAATCGGTAACCGCTAAACACTTATCTCGAAAAGTGTGGTATCCTCATCCTCAATTGATCTGTTAAACACCCACAAAAGCCTACTACAAAATAAAAACAAACCATTCACCTTATGCTCTCAGTACAAAAATTCTAATCAGATTCTGAGATTTGGCACCAGTTCTTAAAGAAATCAAACCAACTCCGAATAAGAAGTCTACAAACTTTTACTTAATAATGATCATATTATCACTGTAATTGATCTTGATTTTTTGAAATTCCGATAAATACTCACTTACTTACGCCTTATGCACCCAATTCGTTTCATGTCTGCTTCCGATTCTCGGCTCAGTTACTTCTCAGTTCTGCCTCTTTTCCTTAGTTCTTGAGGATTCCAAGTTAGCACCTGCTTCGGGAACTGATTGTGTGCTTTCCTCATTATGTGACCTGTCCACTTCCAGCGCTCTTTCCTGGTTTCCTCCTCCACTGGAGACTGGTTAGTTCTCTCCCAAAGCAGGTTGTTGCTGATAGTATCTGGCTATTCGATTCGAGGTGTTTCGTAGACAACTGTTAATAACAACTTGTATCCTGTTGATGATGACTTTGATAGTTCTCCAAGTTTCCGCTTCATAAAATGTTCGTAATGATAATTGTAACTTTGGTCTTGATTTTGAGTAACAGATGTTGTTCCGCTGTAAAATTGCTGCTTCTGCTTTGCTAAGACATGTCTTCGTATCTGCATTCATTAATCAGTAGTGATTCCACGACTTTTAAAGATTTATACACTATCCAAAACTTCTCTCTCATGTGTGATTTTGTTGGTGCATGTGGTTTTGTATCAAGGGATCTTGCTTATTTCCATATATGTGGTGAGACTCTCGGCTGTGGTGGCTGCTACTTCACTGGCCGTCTACTGTTCAGTTTGTTGCTGTTTTTGGGATAGAAGAACAAGATTATATGCGAAGTTAAGACCATCCAGCTACATCCGAGCTATTGACTGCATTCCATACTTCCCTGAGATCTCGACATTTTCATAATCCTTCCGGCTACAAGAAGAAAGACGAAGTCTGAAAGTAAGCGACCTTTTTAGATACCGGTCTTCACTTGGAATGAATCTGTGAGCTATCCTACATGCACGATTTTGAAGTTTAATCCATCACAAGGATACCAGTAAACACTGCTGTTGCTTCAGTAACATAACCTGGTTCTCAAATGGTAGATTTTTAACTCTCAGGACACTCTGGTACGCGTTCTGTAGACGGGCAGAATCTAAGAGCTGAACTTCCAGAAAATTCTTTTTCATAGAAACTAGCTCATATCGTTACTAGAAGAACCTTGGTGCGTTGTGCGAAAGGGGCAACTAGGTGCTGTCCGGTAGTCAAATCATGCTTACTAGATATTATATTAGACCATTGTGAAGATGACTTCTCCAACCTTGATCATATGCCACACTTTGGCAAGGGCGTCCACGCAGTGAGGAAACTATAAGACATTTGACGCTGATGAAACAAAATCTTACTAACAGGACACCTAACATTTTTGTGACTCAGCCCTAAACAAGTAAACATAATTTTCTCAAAAGAAGCTTACGCCTGAAACGCCCATACTCGTATATAAACTGACGGACTAGTAGAAAGGACAGAATTATGAGGGGAAATTAGGATAGCATGATTGACCGAAGGCAATTATGGTAAAGCTTCAGTACTCTCAGACTACTTTAGAGGTGTAAATACTATAGAGATACCTCTTCTTCAACAAAGTAGCCATTAAGGAACTCGATGTCCTCAATCTGTTGGATAATGCATCCCAGATTGCTCAAAGAACTAGCGAATTTCATATCAAACCTCTCAAGATTATGTTTTGATCTATCCATAAACGAAGGTTGATTACTGAAAGACTGGAGGAACGCTGTAATTCTTCCTATCTTCAAAACAGATATGAGATATAAACCTGAGAACTACGGGCCCGTGAGCATAACTAGCGTGGTTCTAAAAATTATAAAAAAAAGATCAGTCGTAATCAGCAGTCTAAGTATCTCAACGAAAATCGTATTCTTCTTGAAAAGCAGAAGATCTTTAAAGCAGGCTATTTATGTCTCATAGACCTGACAGTAGACTGCCGAAGCTGTTGCGCTGTCAAAGATCAAAAGCCACCGACAGATGTAGCCCTGAATGACTTTGATAAGGTTCCTCACAACTGGGTCCTTGCCTAAGTTAAGTGATATCAGCTTCGTAGGGCAACTTACTTTCATAGATTCATGATTTCTTAATCGGACGACAACAAAGAATACAGGTCAAATCCAAGTTATCTAGTTGGGAAACTATGATTAGCTGGATATCTCAAGGTACAGTATAAAAGCTAGTGTTGTTCTTCCTGTATGTAAGTCTGGATCTATTTTCATCGCCTTTTTTTATACTGACAATATCGATTTTTTTGAGGCAGTTAAAAATTGAAAGTGATAGTCTGCAGCTTCAAAATGACCTGCAGGAGTAATCCGAACGGATCTCAATTCGTCAATTGTTGATAAACACTTCAAAGTGCATCATAATGGACACTGGTCAACAAGATACAGATAAATATACGATGAATACAACTGACCTACCTGTTATCTATACACATAAGGGAATAAAATCATCATTGGCAAAGACTTGAAAACTGCTGTGCGATGGCCACCAAAGGTTTTTGAATCCTATGGCTTATATGTAAAGCCTTCAGCCATGGCAATGTCATGACAATTTTGACTTTGTGTACAGTACTCGTATTAGGCAGCCAACCCTTAACTAAAAATTTCAGTGAGCCTTTGGAAAAGATTGGGAGAGGAGCAACTAAGCTGATTCTCGGAGTCTCAAAGCTGATGTACGAAGAAAGACTGGTTGAATTAAACTTATTTCTTCTATCACAGAAGGATCAGAAGGTAAACAATCACAGTTTTAAATTACTCAGCGTCAGTTAAGATGTCTTTATTTTTATTACTTTTAGAACTGAGAATTCACTCAGACATTCCATAAAAGTTCACAAACACAGAACAAATAGCTTGTAAGTTAACTACTGATTTTCCCATTGAGTCATCAAAGAATTGAACTCATTACCCCAAAACATGAGTGAAGCTCAATTATCAATGCATTCAAGAGAAATATGGATCAAAATTTCTTGCAATAAAACAGATCACCTAGGCTACTTTGCTTTGCAAACTGAAACTGATTCATGACCAGATACTTGACCTTCAATTGGCGGGCTTGTTTCGTATCCTCCCAAGTGGTGTTATTTTTTTGCGTGTGCTAAGTAACAGATGATACTAAGGCTGATGATGGCGAGTTTCTAGAACAATAAGGGCTTAAGTAAGCTATCTCGCAGGAGTAAATTAGTAGACCTTGGTGTCATATATATATTTCTCACCTAGGTAAAAGTAAGGTGGAGACAACCTTAATTTTTTTGTCAGACGATGTGGCGTAAGTTTAGACGAGTAGATGGTTGGTTGTGAATTCAGGTGAATAATTGAAAAATCGTAATTTAACAGCGTTTCGAACCCAGGGTAACAAATAGAGGAAAGTATCACTACTCCGTGGCTGTCGATGAGAATGGGTTTTCTGAGTATTTGTACTATTTAATATTCTTCGATTCATAACCAAGGGGTATATACTGTTTAATTACGGAATGGTCTGTGGTTAAAAAGTGATACAGTCCTATGTGTTAGTTTTTATATCACTATTGAACCTATGTATAAGAGTTATTGGGGTTTACATCACGAAACGACACTAGCTATTATGCAAGAACTGGTTCAACACCAAAATCTTATTGGATCATTCATACGCTTTGCCTGATAGAGTACTAGTACCTCGTTTGTATTAGCTGTTACATTCTATATAAATGCTAAGGTTTTGTGGGCTAAGTAGTGCTCTTGTCTTCGAGGATTTTCTGCGAATGTGCTCTTTAAATGTACAGGTTTTCACGTAGCAAAAATAGTGGTTTACATAGTTTCTAAAGCCACACTAGCTAGTTTTCGTTTTCTCCACTTTACATTTTTGTGATGGATCTTTTTGACTTTGGATATACATAGCTTAGAACGGGAATTTGCGATATAGAGTAGACTTCACCTTTGTTATATAATGGGGGGGGGGGATATATCTACGTGTGATTGGTCTCTGATTAGAAAAGCTTAACGATCCTGTAACTAACTCTGTAGTCTTTAAAAGAACTCAAGAATAATAAGATTCTTAGTAACAGGCTGCTTGATTTCAGCATCCTTCTATCACACTAAGTGGGGTCCTAAAGTTAAGAAGTAATTGTATAGGTGAAATGACCATAGCATCTACCGCATCGCAGTGTGGATTTGTTTCCAGTTCATGGATTAATCTTCCCTAAATTCTGCTCTTCGAAAACACAACCGTAATGTCCTATTATTATTACGCCTAGGAAACGTCCATTATTTTAACTGCGAAATGTTTAAGTGTAATTATGGTATTGCTCTGTAGGTAGTCAGAACTTTATTTCATACTTCAATAAAATAATCTTGTAAATTGTCTCCTCTGATTTGGCCTGAATAGATCATAGATTATGTTCTCGTTAATTTACGTTTATTTTCTAATTCCGGCTCATCTCATGTACCTTTGTTTTCGAATACTGGAGTGACAGTTCAAATTCATGTACTTTTCAGATATATGTCATACTTAGCAACTGGATCGCTCATAGTTTTCAGCCTGTTTTTTATATTTAAAGGATTGCGAAGGTACTTTCATTTCGAAGTAGGTCTTATTGTTCTCAGTAACTTCCTGTTGACAGATCGATAAGAACTCAGCACACTATGGTGGGGAGCTGGTTGCAGATGTATTAAAGGTACAATAACAATAGATTGACATATTTTTAGGCGCATAATGTACCATTTATTTTTACGCTCACTGGAGGCCACATATCACCAATATTGGTTGCTGCAGAAAAAGAAAATATACGTGTGATTGACGTTAGGCATGAAGCATCTTCTGTGTTTGCCGCTGATGCCGTCTCAAGACTTTCGGGTTCCGTTGGTGTGGCTGTTGTTACGGCAGGTAAGTTAGAATGCCGTTTACTTTTGCTTATTTATTGCCTAAAATGCCATCAAATAGCATTAATACACGTTCTGGCAACAGGTGTCTCTTTACCTCTGAGTTTTCTTAGACTTTACATGAATAAATACAGGAAAATAGCTCTAACAAATTCGCATACAATTCTTAAGACACTAGAACGCAGTCAAATCTATTACTTGTGATGTCTGAGAACTATGTCATCACCATATTCCTTGTCAACAAGCGATTCTCCTGGTAGAGGTTCAACTCCTGAAAAGTCAGACGATGAAAGTGTCGTCTTTAAAATCATGTCAATGATAAAGTGAAATGAGAATGGAGAAAGTGAACAGCCCTGACGTACACCACTGGAAGTAATCAATTCCCATTACAGTTCGTCATAAGCTCTCACTCGACCAGTAGTGTTTAAGTGGAGAGCAAGTACAAGGTTCATGTACTTCTTTGGTACACCTTTGAATGAAGAACACGGCCAAAGAACCTCACGATCAATAGTCAAACGCCGCCTTAAGGTCAAGGGATACAAATATTGTTGGGCATCTGAATGTGTGTTTATGTTCCAGGGCCTGACGAATTGTGAATTTTCGGTCTGTACATCCACGCCCAGGGCTGAAATCACCCTGATTTTTCTCGAGTCTTCTCTTCACGAGCTCTAGTTAGCCGTCTAAGTATTATTGGACTAAAGATAACATTTTAGACACTATATTGTTTGAACTGATTCTTCTGTGATTGTCACAATAGAACATTTCTCCTTTCTTAGAGACAGGTAATCAGTGATTGGGACCAATCAGATGGGATTACATCCAGTTCCCAGATTCTACCTAAGGTCTCAGTCAATCTAGCTCCTAAAACTAAACCACCATCCTCAAAAATTTCAGGTGTTAATCTGTCAGGGCCTGCTGCTCTCCCTTGCCTGAATGTTTAAAGTGGTTAATATTGAGAAGTTAGACTGTTTTATACATGCATATTTTTTAAAGTAACATTATTGTACCTCACCCTTATGTATTCGACTTACTAACTTTTGTTTCGCATGGATAAAATCTCAGGAAACTGATCAGTAATTGGTTCACTAGTCTTGTGTATAATGGTATAATATGTTATTTTAGTGTTGTTAGATTTCGTGCACAATCTATGTTGCTACAGTTCAGTCAGTCAGTCAGTTGCAACGTAGAACTTCGTACGTATGTACATAAGTTCATGTTGCCATACCACATTATTAGCACAGAGCCGCAAATGTCAAATCAAATCCCATGGTGATAAAGATGGTAGAGGTATTAATGTTATAATAAAGAAGACTAGGGTTTAAGATATTATTCAAAAAATATAATTCAGTGAGATAAGGTTAGAAAGACAAAGGTAGAGGTGCTGGCTAATCCAGAAGATTAGGATTTGAGAGAGCTCAAAGAGTGGATGCACCTGCGCCATTGCAAACGATTTTGAGCCATGTCGTTCAAGGTCTCTAACCATTGATGACTTTCGTCTCGCGGACCCCAACCAGGTAGTCTACATCTACCAACATGACTCAGTCCACTTGTCAGGGACTTCATGGATTTCTGCCATGTTTTGGTCTGGCCGCCCCTAGCTTTCTTCCAACCTACTCCTACACCACAAAACATAGCTCGTCGAGGCAGTCGGTGGTTAGGCATACGTAACACATGTCCCAACCACCTCAACTGATGAAGTTTCACCACTTCATCGATTGATCTGCCATCCTTACCTAGTACTCGTTTCCTAACGACAGCATTGCTTACTCGGTTGTCCCACGATATACGAGCAATGCTTCTTAAACATCTATGATCGAATACTAGTAACCTACGAACATCTTCTACTCTTAACGGCCATGTTTCACAGCCATATAAGAGAACGGAACGAACTGCTGCGCAGTACACCCGCCCTTTGGTTAGCGAACGGATATCACGCCTACGCCATAAGTGACGCAGGTTGGCAAAAGCCAATCGAGCTTTCTGTATCCGAGCTGAGATTTCGTCAGTCACCAGACCGTCAGCACTGATGAGACTCCCCAGATAAGTGAAGTGATCTACACGCTCGACTACTTCACTCCCTATCACTAGTTCAGGTGCCAATGCAACCCAGTCTTGAAGCAACATTTTGCATTTCGAGGGGGAAAACTGCATCCCGAACATGCTCGCATTGTTGCTTATGGTAGTCAGAAGACTCTGCATTTTGTCAGCGTCTTCACCGAATAGAACTATGTCATCGGCATATTCTAGATCAGTAAGCGACTTTCCTGGTAGAAGGTCAACCCCTGAAAAATCTGACGAGCTTAATGTTAACTCTAAGAGGATGTCTACGACAAAGTTGAACAAGAATGGAGAGAGTGGGCAGCCCTGACGGACACCACTTGATGTAGAGAATTCAGATGACAGTTCGCCATATGCTCTCACCCGACCAGTGGTGTTCGAGTAGAGTGCTTGTATAAGGTTAATGTACTTATTTGGTACACCTTTCAATGACAGACACTGCCACAGAACCTCACGATCCACTGAGTCGAATGCCGCCTTAAGGTCCAGGAACACGACTATTGTCGGACGCCTAAATGTGTGTCTGTGTTCCAGGACCTGTCGTAGTGTGAAGATGTGGTCTATACAACCACGTCCAGGTCGAAAACCAGCCTGGTTTTCTCGAGTCTGCTCTTCGCGAGCTCTAGTTAGACGTCTAAGTATAATCGAGGCTAACAATTTAGAAACTATATTAGTTAAACTTATTCCCCTGTGATTGTCACAAGAGGACTTCTGTCCTTTCTTGTAGATTGGGACAATTAGCGACTGAGACCAGTCAGATGGGATTACGTCCATTTCCCAGATTCTACCTAGGATCTCGGTCAGTTTAACCGTTAACACTGGACCACCATCCTTAAACATCTCAGGGGTAAGCCTATCGGGACCTGCCGCCCTACCTCTCCTTAGATTTCCTATAGCTTTCTCAACTTCATGTAAACTGGGAGGACTTATATTGATTTGCCATTCAGGATGACTGGAGATCGTGGGCGACCGAAGAGTGGCTGAAGGCCAGTTGAACTGATCCCTAAAGTGTTCTGCCCATCGGTCCAGCCTCCTAGATTGAGAATGGATAATAAGACCATCCTTTTCCGAGATAGTCTCACTTACATTCGGGTTCCTAATACCGGTTTCTTTGATAAGGCGGAAAAGTTGTCTAGTGTTGCCTATCGCCGCTGCCTTTTCCATCGCTTTTGCTTTCGCCACCCACCACTGTTCACGGTCGTTACGTAGGCTTTTTATAAGTCTGCGCCTAAGTTGAGTACGCTCTTCATCATGTTCAGAGTCAGGTGGGATGCGTTTTCGTGCATCCATCAGTTCGGTGGATGCGACTGAAATCCACGGCTTCATCCTAGCCTTATGGTTTACCTTGCTAGCAGATGTCACTGCTGTTTCCACAGCCTTCTTTATATCATTCCAACCTGACTCCGGATGGGAATCACTTGCATGATCGCCCAACTGTTTTTCTAGTTCCTCCTGAAATATTTTCTTAGCTTGATTATCATCAAGTAAAGCCCTAAGAGGCTTCCTTACGGTGTCTTTCCTACGTCCAGCAAGCCTCAAACAAATACGTGCTCGCACTAGGGCATGATCTGAATCTAAACATGTGCCCCTAGCGCTTAACTTTTTGGAGGAGGTCCGAAAGCTTTCTGTAAAACTCATCTTTCACATCATCTGGGCTGCAGTCAGTGGGGGCGTAGGCTGATATGACGAAGAGGCAACGGCGAGTGTCCCTATCTTTCCGAGTCCTTACTGTCCCGTTGAGTCGGACGGCGCACAAGCGACTATCTACAGGGATCCAGTCAAGGAGAGATTGTTCTGCCCTACGACTCAATGCTATACCTACACCGGCGAGGCCCCTAGAAGCAGCATCAGGGCTACCGGATACACGAAGGGTAAATCGAGCTGCTTCTTTATCTTGACATGGTGAGGTCAAATGAGTGATGCTACTCGGATCCTGTATGCGCGTTTCCGAGACGCAGCACACATCGATGGAACGAGATTCTAAAGTCCTAGCTAATGACGCCTGTTGCCCTATTTGACACAATGTCCGTACATTGAATGCTCCAACATGTAGTTTGGAACGGGGTTTAAGGAGACCAGGAACGACGTTTCGCAAACTCGCATCGTTTGCATTAGCTGTGCACTGTAATAAATGAATGTGAGAAGAGTTAGTCGTGGAGATAAGAGAGGTATTAGGGAATGTAGGAAGGATTTGATTTTGAACAATTTTGTCGCGTGTGCTGTTGCGGGTATGAGGGCGGTTATCACTTCCCGGCTGCCCACACCGTGGAAGGTTGTTTCTTGACGAACCTGAAAAGGAAGATAGATTAGTGTTGGTGCGTGACCGCAGAGTCCAAGGGACAACTGCTTGAGGCCGGTCACGCACGGCCTTTTTATGAAACGTTGTTTGAGGATTAGCTCCGTTCTTAAAGGCCCTTAGTGGGCACCCTTACCCAAGGAGACGGAAATCCGTGGGGTAGGGGAGGTGTGACATTTTTAGGGCCGACCTTTTCTAACCCTTCCTTCCTTGTGAGAAGGCTGCATCGCTGCAGATGCTGGTTGTCCGAGGGAAACACCTTACTGCTGTCACACCCCTCTGCAGTCAGCAGTACGACTTCGCCCTCAGACCTTGGGTAGCTGCTTTTAGTCTCATCGTTCTCCAATCGACCAGTCTGGCATGGTAGGACCTGCAGGAACATATGTTCCAGCCAGTATAGCTCGGTTGGGTCATCACGATAGGCAAGCCCGACCACCACGTCAAGGTAGCAGCTTCGGTCGGGGTTGCTACAGTTACAGAAAAGTGATAACTTTACAGGTTTTTGTCCAGAAATCAGTGGTCTGATCATTTGATTCCCACTGATTGTTTCACCAACTCTAATTTCATTTAGTCTACATTACTTTTGGGAGTTTAAAAATGTCTCTGTCGTGCACTTAATATTTATAGCTGTGAACCAAGTACACATGTCTGCGATTGATTAATGATTTACAAGTCTTTTAGATAATAATAGCAGTAATAGTGGTATAACTTTTTGTAAATATTCACCATTGAAAATTTGTTTTATGCAATTTCATTTCCATATCTAGACATCTAGCACCAACAAATAAGTTCTCTTCATCGACATTCATGCATTTACATTTCCTTTTTTTTAGTAAAGTTTATCCAGTAAAATGTTCCACTTTTCCTTCATAGGTCCTGGTCTTACTAATACAGTGACAGCAGTAAAGAATGCTCAAATGGCTGAATCTCCTGTAGTTATTTTAGCTGGAGCTGCTTCTGGACTTTTACGTGGCCGTGGATCACTTCAGGATATTGACCAGCTCGCTGTTTTCCGCCCAGTTTGTAAATGGTGCAAACGTGTAGACTACGTCAGAGATATTATTCCTGTTCTTTGTGAAGCATTTTATATTGCGCAATCGGATACACCTGGTAAATTTATCTATTTCCTGTGGTTGATATACTTAGTAACATAATCACTGTTCATAAAAAATGCAGAGGACTAGATTGGTTTTCGCCAACTTGCGTCATTTATGGCGTAGGCCAGACATCCGTTTGCTAACCAGTTTTTTCCGTCCTACTATATGGATATGAATCATGGCTGGTAAGCGTAGAGGATATTCGTAGGTTATTCGTATTTGATTGCAGATGTCTTCGAAGTATTGCTCGTATATCCTAGGACAACCGAGTGAGCGATGCTATAGTTAGGAAACGATTACTAGGTAGGGATGGCAGGTAAGTAGATGGAGTATTGAAACTTCATCAGTTGATGTGCTTGGGACATGTGTTATGTATGCCCAACCAACCAGCCTCTACGGGCGATGTCTTGTGGTGTAGGAGCAGGTTGGAAGAAGGCTAGGGGCGGTCAAACATGGTACAAATCCATGAGATCACTGACAAGTGGACTGAGTCATGTTACCAATAATTAGAGACCTTGAACGACATGGCTCAGAACCGTTTGCAATGGTGCAGGTGCATACATTAGTTGTGTTCTCTGAAATTCTAATCTTCTGAATTCCTTCTCACCTCTGTCTTTCTCTTTCCAAAGTTATCTCACTGAATTATACTTCCTGAATAACAACTTCAAATCCTAATCTCCATTACCAGTAATACATCTATCTCTACCACTATGGGGTTTAAACTGACAGTCGCTCTTTGTGCTAATGTGGTATGACAACCTGAACTGTTGTACGTACGTACGGAGTTCTACGTTGTAACTGACTGACTGATAGAAAATATTTTGGCTGTAGATGACGATGTTGTTATATTGCAGCTTTTATCGCTTAGTCGGTCCAATCCTATTGAAATAAAAACCATTCTGAAGTTCTGTTGAAACGAATTAAATTTTGTTTTATCTATAGAGTTACTGACAATAAGATTGTCATTAGATATTTAACTAAGTTGAGAGTTAAGTCAGTCAGTCAGATGCAACGTAGAACTTCGTACGTAAGTACATTAGCTCATGTTGCCATTGGTTCACGTCACCATACAACATTAGCACAGAGACGCAAATGTCAAACCAAATCCCATAGTGATAAAGATAGTAGAGCTATTAATTTTAATAAAGAAGACTAGGGTTTGAAGATATTTTTCAAGAAGTAAAATTCAGCGAGATAAGTTTAGAAAGACAAAGGTGGGGGTGATGAGTAATTCAGAAGGTTAGAATTTCATAGAACACAAAGAGTGGATGAACCTGCGCCATTGCAAACAGGTTTCGAGCCGTGTCATTCAGGGTCTCTAACAATCGATGTTTATCATCTCGCAGACCCCAACCACGTGGTCTACATCTTCCAACATGACTCAGTCCACTTTTCAGTGACTTCATGGATTCCTGCCATGTTTTGGTCTGGCAGCCCCTAACTTTCTTCCAACCTATTCCTACATCGCAAAACATAGCTCAGCGGGGCCTTCGGTGGTTAAGCATACGTAACACATGTCCCGACCGTAGCTGCTACCTTGACGTGGTGGTCGGGCTTGCCTATCGTGATGACCCAACCGAGCTATACTGGCTGGAACATATGTTCCTGCAGGTCCTACCATGCCAGACTGGTCGATTGGAGAACGATGAGACTAAACACAGCTACTGAAGGTCTGAGGGCGAAGTCGTACTGCTGACTGCAGAGGGGTGTGACAGCAGTAAGGTGTTTCCCTCGGACAACCAGCATCTGCAGCGATGCAGCCTTCTCACAAGGAAGGAAGGGTTAGAAAAGGTCGGCCCTAAAAATGTCACACCTCACCTTACCTCACGGATTTCCGTCTCCCTTCGTAAGGATGTCCACTAAGGGCCTTTAAGAACGGAGCTAATCCTCAAACAACGTTTCATAAAAAGGCCGTGCGTGACCGGCTTTGATTTCGACCAATTTGGTCTCGCGTGCTGTAACGGGTGTAAGGGCGGTTGTCACTTCCCGGCTGTCCACACCATGGAAGGGTGTTTCTTTAGGAACGTGAAAAGGAAGATAGATTAGTGTCGGTCTTGGAAACCCAGGAGCGTGACCGCAGAGCCCAAGGGACAACTGCTTGAGGCCGGTCACGCACGGCCTTTTTATGAAAGGTTTTTTGAGGATTAGCTCCGTTCTTAAAAGCCCTTAGTGGGCACCCTTACCGCCGGTGACGGAAACCCTTGAGGTAAGGTGAGGTGTGACATTTTTAGGGTCGACCTTTTCTAACCCTTCCTTCCTTGTGAGAAGGCTGCATCGCTGCAGATGCTGGTTGTCCGAGGGAAACACCTTACTGCTGTCACACCCCTCTGCAGTCAGCAGTACGACTTCGCCCTCAGACCTTCAGTAGCTGTGTTTAGTCTCATCGTTCTCCAATCGACCAGTCTGGCATGGTAGGACCTGCAGGAACATATGTTCCAGCCAGTATAGCTCGGTTGGGTCATCACGATAGGCAAGCCCGACCACCACGTCAAGGTAGCAGCTACGGTCGGGAAGTTGGGAGTTAAACTACAGAATGAATCTCTAACTTTAACTATAAAGGTCACTATTTTGTTGCAGTAGGGTAAAAGTCTATTTATTTACTACTCGGTTGCCGGATGAGTTACTAATATTTCACGTCGAGAAGATACCAGGCATTTACGCAGCTATTGTATTGAACACAACTTTCCTACCTAACTATCTAAGTCCTATGAAAGCAACTACTTTTACAAGCAAACCGAAAAACCGTTCTCATTAAAGCGTTGATCACTGGTACTTTTTTGATTAAACGGATCCTCAAAAGGTGTGATACTTATTGACGTAAATCGCTCTTGCTTCTTGCCAAACATAAAACAATTTTAGTCGCCTCACTATTATTGCCATTCATGGCTACCCAGATACACTACGTTGTCTTTCTTTTTGAGCATTGGCTACCGTGTAATTGTATCTCTTGACATTGTTTCACTGTCGTACGAGTCAAACTTTCAAGTTAATGACTGAAGAGTAGTCTCCTAAGAAGATCACTTGACTGGATCCCTGTAGATAGTCGCTTGTGCGCCGTCCGACTCAACGGGACAGTAAGGACTCGGAAAGATAGGGACACTCGCCGTTGCCTCTTCGTCATATCAGCCTACGCCCCCACTGACTGCAGCCCAGATGATGTGAAAGATGAGTTTTACAGAAAGCTTTCGGACCTCCTCCAAAAAGTTAAGCGCTCTGATATAGTTATAATGGCTGGTGACTTCAATGCACAAGTAGGTAGACTAAGTGAGCAGGAGAGACACCTAGGTGGATGTTACGGTCTCGCGGCTCAAAGAACAGACAATGGCGACCGTCTGTTGCAACTGTGCTCAGATAACCAACTATTTCTAGCAAACACTAATTTTAAGCATAAGGAAAAACACCTTTTGACCTGGCGACCCCCGAAGTCGTCTCAACGTTGGACACAACTAGATCATATCGCCATCAGCCACCGATGGAGGGGTTCGATAGAGGACTGTCGCTCGTTCTGGGGCACATGTTTAGATTCAGATCATGCCCTAGTGCGAGCACGTATTTGTTTGAGGCTTGCAGGACGTAGGAAAGACACCGTAAGGAAGCCTCTTAGGGCTTTACTTGATCATAATCAAGCTAAGAAAATATTTCAGGAGGAACTAGAAAAACAGTTGGGCGATCATGCAAGTGATTCCCATCCGGAGTCAGGTTGGAATGATATAAAGAAGGCTGTGGAAACAGCAGTGACATCTGCTAGCAAGGTAAACCATAAGGCTAGGATGAAGCCGTGGATTTCAGTCGCATCCACCGAACTGATGGATGCACGAAAACGCATCCCACCTGACTCTGAACATGATGAAGAGCGTACTCAACTTAGGCGCAGACTTATAAAAAGCCTACGTAACGACCGTGAACAGTGGTGGGTGGCGAAAGCAAAAGCGATGGAAAAGGCAGCGGCGATAGGCAACACTAGACAACTTTTCCGCCTTATCAAAGAAACCGGTATTAGGAACCCGAATGTAAGTGAGACTATCTCGGAAAAGGATGGTCTTATTATCCATTCTCAATCTAGGAGGCTGGACCGATGGGCAGAACACTTTAGGGATCAGTTCAACTGGCCTTCAGCCACTCTTCGGTTGCCCACGATCTCCAGTCATCCTGAATGGCAAATCAATATAAGTCCTCCCAGTTTACATGAAGTTGAGAAAGCTATAGGAAATCTAAGGAGAGGTAGGGCGGCAGGTCCCGATAGGCTTACCCCTGAGATGTTTAAGGATGGTGGTCCAGTGTTAACGGTTAAACTGACCGAGATCCTAGGTAGAATCTGGGAAATGGACGTAATCCCATCTGACTGGTCTCAGTCGCTAATTGTCCCAATCTACAAGAAAGGACAGAAGTCCTCTTGTGACAATCACAGGGGAATAAGTTTAACTAATATAGTTTCTAAATTGTTAGCCTCGATTATACTTAGACGTCTAACTAGAGCTCGCGAAGAGCAGACTCGAGAAAACCAGGCTGGTTTTCGACCTGGACGTGGTTGTATAGACCACATCTTCACACTACGACAGGTCCTGGAACACAGACACACATTTAGACGTCCGACAATAGTCGTGTTCCTGGACCTTAAGGCGGCATTCGACTCAGTGGATCGTGAGGTTCTGTGGCAGTGTCTGTCATTGAAAGGTGTACCAAAGAAGTACATTAACCTTATACAAGCACTCTACTCGAACACCACTGGTCGGGTGAGAGCATATGGCGAACTGTCATCTGAATTCTCTACATCAAGTGGTGTCCGTCAGGGCTGTCCACTCTCTCCATTCTTGTTCAACTTTGTCGTAGACATCCTCTTAGAGTTAACATTAAGCTCGTCAGATTTTTCAGGGGTTGACCTTCTACCAGGAAAGTCGCTTACTGATCTAGAATATGCCGATGACATAGTTTTATTCGGTGAAGACGCTGACAAAATGCAGAGTCTTCTGACTACCATAAGCAACAATGCGAGCATGTTCGGGATGCAGTTTTCCCCCTCGAAATGCAAAATGTTGCTTCAAGACTGGGTTGCATTG